ATTATAGGAGATGCGCTCACTGCAGTACAAAAACAAAAGATGTGCGAACTAAATGGTCATGTAGTACGTGCAACGTACCATTATGTTTACAAGTAGACAGAAATTGCTTTTTGAAGTATCATTCATGAAAGATTGAAATGAATTAAAAAGCTAAGATAATTAAAAAATTGAAGGTGAGAAGATAAAAATATAAAAGTGAAAAAAAAACATAAAAAAAACAAAAATACAAAAAAAATCAATCTAATCTTGGATTCACCATTTTGAATTTCGAAATTCTGGATTCAGAATCGAGATTAGCGATCCCAAAAACCCTTGTATACTAATTTTCAATAAATTAAAAAATATACACCAAATTTTTACCGCCATCTTGAATCCGCCATTTTAAATTTCGAAATTCTGAGTTCAAAATCGTGATCAGCGATCCCAAAAACCCTTGTATACCATTTTTCAATAAAATAAAAAATATAAACCAAATTTTTGCCGCCATCTTGGATCCGCCATTTTAAATTTCGGAATTCTGAGTTCAGAATCGTGATCAGCGATTCCAAAAACCCTTGTATACAAATTTTCAATGAAATAAAAAATATACACTGAATTTATGCCGCCATCTTGGATGCGCCATTTTAAATTTCAAAATTCTGAGTTCAGAATCGTGATTAGCGATCCCAAAAACTCCTTTGTATAAATTTTTGTAAAATTATAACTGAAAGTTTCTTCAATAATGAATTTTGTTTATAAATAGGGCTGTTTTTTCGTCTTTGTTTAACAATATTAACAAATTAATAAAAGTTGTGGCACCAATTGACGTAAATTTGAATTGTATATCATCCTATAATCGTAAAACAACAAAAAACTCAGGGTAAATTCATCAAAAACTATTCTAAATTTGCAAAAAATGCTATGAAAAAAGGTGGGAATACGTATTCCCACTGTGCCGCAAAGGGTTAATTTTATACATTAGCTTGCACCCTTTTTTTAGATTAATTTTTTTTTAATTATTTTATTATTAAAATATCATGATAAAAAAATCACGCCAATTCTTTTTCTAAATAAAAAATTGTTTTAAAGTATTTTTATAATCATTAGAAAATAACAAAAGAAAAAATATTGTATTTTTCCAAATTGTTTATGAATACCATAGCTTGTTTTACGCTATGTAGCATAATTTTTTAAAAACGCTTGTATTTTTGAGTTACTTAGTAATATAAATAATTCATTGTCATAATTCGTCGATTGATCTCAAAGAATATAATTAATGTAAATTCAAGTAATTGTTGAATTACTGAAAACTGCAGTTAGCAAACGAAATTGATAAGCCGCATTGTTCAGGCCTCGGCCTCTATATTCTAATTTTCCTCTCAACATATGACTTTTGTGTGGAATTCATGAGGAAGACACTGACTTGCTACGCATTGTTTGGAGATATGCTCCGGATCAGGTTATGCAGCACTTCCGGTTTACCACCGTCAGCTATGGTACTTCTTGTACTCCATACCAAGCTATCAGAGCGCTCCGCTAGTTGGCCTCCGATGAACGAGCTAACTTCCCGTTGGGAGCCGACATTCTGAATCATAACACCTACGTTGGCGACACTTTCGCCGGAGCTGACTCCTTAGATTTGATTATGGATGCCAAGAACGAACTAATCGGGATTCTCCGAGCAGCCGGGATCGATCGCGATAAATGATCATCGAATCATCGTGCACTGATGGCAGGTCTGACCAATGTTTCCACTCAGGATTTGCCGTTAGCTGAAGAAGACGTAGTGTCTACATTGGGGCTTCGCTGGCGACCACGTGTAGATGCCAAGGACGAACGTCTTATCCCGCCAACTATCAAGAGGAAGCTTTTGTCCGTAGTTGCATGCTTGTTTGATCCAGTAGGCTGATTGGATCCAGCCCACGTGATTCAAAGCAAAATTCTGATTCAGAAACTTTGGATGCACGGTCACGACTAGGACTCACCATTGGATCATGAGTCTTTGGAAGAATGTACTATTTTCTGCAGGTAACTCCGTTACGTGGAAGACATCGCTATTCCTTGATTTCTAGGATGCAATCCCGACGCACTCTGGTTCCTACACGGTTTTTGTGATGTGTTCGAGCGAGCTTATGGGACCTGCCTTTATTTTGTGACACAGGATTCTCAAGGTGTTTGTCATTCCTCCTTACTCATAGCAAAAACCAAGCTGGCACCGATCAAGTAAATAGCGTGCCTCGACTGGAACTTTTGCGCAGCTTTACTACTGGCTCGATTGGCGGTAGCGATGGTTCTACAGCTAACCCGAAGGCCCAGCAAGATTTTCTGCTGGTCGGACTCCACGGTAACACTGATATGGCTCAGAGAACATCCGTTCCGTTGGCAAATCTTTGTAGCCAACCGAGTGAGCTAGATACACGTTGGTTTCTCAGGCTCCATGGAGCTATGTCGCTTCCGAAGACAACCCTGCCGATGTTGCCTCACGGGGTCTCGCCTCCCGCTAGCTCTGAGATAACCCCCTATGATCAGGACCTGCTTAGTTACTGAATAATTGGGACACATGGGCACCCGCCTGCTAATTCTCATCAACACTGGAGAGCAAACCTCTTCAACGTGTGCTACTTCACAAAACACTACAGGAAGAGAACCTCTCGTTCAGCCGGTTTATATCACTGATGAGGTTGGTGCAAGTATTCGCATACGTACTCCGCTGGCCAGCAAATATACGAGGCTCCTTAACGTAGCCTCTCTACCAGGTTTTATCAGCCTTGGAGATACTGTCGTCTACACGATCCATCCTGAGAGCTTTCCAGCAGGAACGACTCACCGAGGAAATCAGAGCTTTCTCAAAAGGATCCCTCTTCCCAAAAGCTCGACAATCCGTCGGTGCTTGCTCTTTCTGGATGACTTTGGGGTATTAAGGATTGGCGGCCGTCTTCATAACACGTGTCTCTCTTATGAGGAAAAGCATCCGGCTATAGTCCCTCGAGAAAGTCACCTCGCAACCCTCCTCATAAGAGATACCCACATACGTACTACTCTCCATGGAGGACACCAGCTTACTTTCAGCTACCTGTGAAATCATTTTTGGATTCCCCAAGTACGCAGTGACATGCGTAGACCAGTGCGACGCTGCACCTGGTGCACTCGATTTCAAAGGCGAGTTTTGGAACAACAAATTGCCCCGTTGCTTGCATCACGAATTACTCCATCGAGACCATTTTTCACTTGTCGTATAGACTTTGCTGGGCCGTTTCACGTACGGCTTAGCAAGGGAAGAGGCATAAAAGCTACAAATGGTTATGTGTGTCTTTTCGTGTGCTTCGTTACTCGTGCCGTTCATTTGGAAGTTGTCTCTGACCTGAGCATGAAGACCTTCCTGCATACCTTCCGCCGCTTCACAGGTCACAGAGGATTGTGCCACACCATCCACGCTCCAGAGAGCAGCCCAGGAATTGACGAGTCTTTTCTCCAAGGCTTCCTCTTTCAGCAAGGAAGTTTCCATCGCACTGGCAAGTAAAGGAATAAGCTGAAAGTTTATTCCTCCACGAGCACCACATTTTGGAGGTTTATGGAAAGCTGAGGTAAAGGCGTTCAAGCATCACCTCAAACGCGTGATAGGAGATTGCAAGCTCTCTTTCGAGCTTCCCAATATTAAACGATATCGACTGGCGACGGTTATGAGTCTCTACTTCTGGCGTCACTGGCACCAGGTGCGCTCTAAATGGTTAATCCTAAGCACCCCTTTACAAGTGGGGGATCTCGTTCTCATCACGGATTTTGATTCTTCCCCCCCCTCCCCCCCCATTGATGATGCTTGTTTTATATTTTGGTTTATAAGTAGCAACTGGAATCAAATCTTCTCTGACGACACTAATTCACCCAGAACTGATCTCATAATTCCCCAGAAGGCGACTCTTTATAGATCATTTTGTCATTTCTTCTAAAAAATGACATAATAGGAGAGAGCACTCTGAGCGTTCTGAACAAGGGTATAAAGATTAGTGCACCGGCTCACTCAAGTCATTATTTTCGAGCAGATCAACCAGCATCGGATCTCACTGAAGCCTTCCAACCTTCTATCACAGATAGAAGTACAACTACCAGTGCCTACTGCCAAACTAAAAGAGTTTTCAGAGGCATTTTCAGTGACATTTTCTGTGGCTTTTTCAGAGACTTTCTCAGAGGCTTCTCCAGTGGTCTATCTTCTATCATGGATAGAAGTTCACCTTCAAATATTGGTGCCTACTGCCAAACTAAGAGAGTTTTCAGAGGCATTACTAGTGGATTTTTCAGAGGACTTTCCTCAGGATTTTTCGGGAAAATCGCTTGTGACTACCAGAACCTGCTATCAAGGTGAGATAGTTTCCAGTAGCTTTTCCTGGGACTTTTCCAAGTGGATAATCCAAAGACTTTTTAGTAAAATAATTAAGTGATCAGTGGCAATATTCTCACTCCTGTCTTTAAGTCTGCGACTTCTTAACACAATCATTCAAGATCTGTTTGGTTTTTTTCTCTTATTTTCAGCAAGATTAAATCTGATAATAACAAAGTTATATCAGACAGTCTTGATCGTGAACACGCATAAATGTAGTTGAGCACCATTTTCAATGAATTGCGCATGTCAGCCCTCTCACCGCTCCGCGCTCGTCAAGCTGCATTCTACTTTCTAAAGCAGCCCGTTGATCAGCTGCTCTTTAAAATTGGTTATCTCATTACCTAATTACCAAAAAAATTTTGAAATAATATCATCTTAAATAATTTTTGAAGTCGAATCTAGTGATATTAGTTTTATCCATTGTTTCAGAATCACCGTGTATAATATCATCACAGCATATAGACCAGCTAATATCAAAATTAATACATGGTATTTCTTATAATAATACCTTCCTACAATCACAAAAATTTCCATTATATTTGTATTAATAAACTTGATTTAAGATTTCTACTTTATCAAATATTATTTTTATGTAGCTTTCATAGTACGTATTATATTAAACATTATCTTTTTCATTTTCTAGGTGATAGTATCGATGAGAATGCAGTATTCTATAGAATAACAAATAATTTCTTCAAGAAAGGAGGGAAACTTAACTTCAAAGGCTACACAGTCTCTCTAAGTGATTTTTTTGTTAATGAAAGGATACTAATAAAATCTATAAAAACTTGTAAAGTTGATAAAGATTTAAAGAAATGTTATTCATATTCAAACAAATTATTAAGCAGTACATTAAATCAAGATCTAATATTAAAAATGCAATACAAAGTTGTTTGCTCTGCCGCTAGGTCATTAAACTGTGCTACTGTTATTTTTAATAAATGTACCATCACTTCAACATCTGATATTATAAGTAGTATGATTCTAGGTCATAAGAGTATTATATCATTTCAAGGTTTCCATTGTAAAAAAAATATGAATATTCAAGTGTTATACCCTATGGACATTTTCAATTTAAGTATTCCTACTAATGTTTACAGTCATGAGAATTATAGAAACTATGACAAAAATGTAAATAAGTTCGAAGGCCATATACAGAAATTGACTAAAGATTTCATTTTAAAACTGAATTCGGTTGACAATATCATTAAAACACTTAATGAGCTAAGTAAAAAGTTAGACCTTGATTATAGCTTCTCTGCTAATAAATATTGCAAACTTTGTTACCAATCAATTGATATATGTGTACCTTCATCGATTGTGAATGCAAAGCAGTTTTCTGTATCTATATCTAGAATTGGAAACTTAATAAGAATAGTACAAATCAATAATTTAAAAGAAAAAATATTTAATAATAATCTTCGTTTTCCCCTTACGTATTTTAATATATCTGCAGAACCTTGTACTCCATCACTTAACTTTAAGAAATTATACTGTGCAATGAATTTCTGTTATTCATGTATTACATATATTGTAAGATGTAAAAAAGTATCATGGGAAATAGATGTTTCCAATCATTTTATTGAAAAGTAATACAATATGCAACTAAAAAACTTTATTTTTTGTGTATATCATTATATATTTCGTAGTTCAATCAAATTCTATATCTCATTATATTATTAAATAAACCGGAAAAATCTCTTTCAACAAATTGTAACATAGAATCACCGCTCTATCGGTCTTCTACCATTTAAGGTTCTTGCTGCTGTCCGTGCACATCGCCAGGTTGAAAGTGTGTATGTGTATGCATTTTTTCATGCTTGAGTAATTTATATTACTTGCTTAAGTAATATAAATCTGAAACAACATTGAATGAAACATTTGCTCTGTGCATTAGATCGGGCGTGAGAATGACGTATATGCAAAAATATATGGTAGAAAATATAAACACCAATTTGTAATAGCTTCTAGAAGTCTTTAAAAGTCTTTGAATTTCTTACGAAAAAGAATTTATGCTAAATATCAAAAAAATTTAATTGAATTCGTCAAAAATACATTTCAAAATACTGTAAAAAAAATTATTTATCTTAATGATGGTGCCGGAAGCCAATATAAAAATAGAATGAATTTTTTAAACTTAGTTCGATATTACGGCATTTATTCTATTTAGAGCAGAGTGGCTTTTTTTTGCAAGTTATCATGTTAAAAGTCCATGTAATGGAATTGGTAGAGGTATAAAAAGATTAGTTCGACGAGAAAGCTTGCTCGGTAAAATCATAAGTAATTCTGCAGAATTTTACAAATGGGCGAAGCAAGTTATGCCTAAAATTACGTTTATTTACTGTAGTCAAGAAGAATATGAAATTTTTGAAAGTAGTATGTATAGTCAATTAAAAGATGCTCTTACTATACAAGGAACACAATCACTGCATGCATTCATTCCAGTTAGTGATGACAATACAACGGAAATTAAAGTAAAAAAAACTTCATACTCTTCTGAATTTGAAATAAGACGCATAATTTAAAGGGTTTTTTTTGTAAAATTACTTGTAAATAACTTATTAAGAGTATTATGGTGTAGGTCCGATAAAAAAACATTTTTAATGCGGCCGCATCCTAAATATGCGTCGGTCTCAAGCCCGCTCAAACGCAGAGAGCGAATGTTTAATTTCAATATTATATCAGATTGTATAAAGAAATAGTTCATTTACATTACTTACTTAATTAATACATCTATATATTATTTAAATAAATACATATAGACTGTTAGAATATGAAATTATTTATTCTTTAAAGAAGGCAATTGCAGCAAGCAACGTTGGAACCGCACGAGTAGCAGACGGCCGAGCGGCCGAACGGCTAGCGCGTGGTTCGTTTCATTTTAGTGCTATCTTAATCCTAATAGCGGGCACTCGATTTTCTCAACGGTTTCTTGTGTAAAAAATGACAAGGAACACGATGGTACAAAAATTAAAAAAAAAAAAATATCGTTTTTTGAGATATCGTCGATTTTTTGAAAAAATTGTTTATAACAGTGGCATAAATAAATGATTTGGTATTTTATTATTTACATTTTAAAAGTGAAACTCTTTCCGCGTCTTTTAAAAAAGGAATCATGTCCATATCTTTATTAGTCTCCGAGAAATCGAATTAATAAAAAAAAGTCCAATATTTTTTCAACAGTTGATAAGTCGGCCCCTTATCAATATTTTGATCTAAAACGTTGCACAGATGTTGATCTCTGTATAGGTAACAAGTCTACCAACTTTGAACAAAATTGGTGATTTGAAGTTTTAAACTGTTTGAAATAGCCAAGAATTGCCCATAAGCAAGTTTCAATATTTAGCTTTACGATGAGTATTTCAATACGTAAGGATAGAGTAAGTTTCAGTCTCTTTAACGCTTCTAATAGTTTTTTTCTCTGTTTGTTGTATAAATAGCATTACCAAATTACATGATTCTGGTTCTTTTCTTTGACATTTACGATACATTTTAAATTTTCTATTATTGCCTTACGTCACAATAAATTGGCTAGGTTATAATGATTCACTCTACATATGTTTATCATTACAGTAAAATTCTGTTTAACGCTTTTTCCAATTACCATAGATTTTACAATTTGTATAATAATTTTGGAAATATATAGTGGACATTTCAGAGCTTTTTTTCTATATACATCTTGTCGGACTCGTAAGTATACTCGTTTTTAATAGTGTTTGAATAAAACTATCTATCAATGAGCTTTACGTGGTTTCTTTCGCTAATGAGTCCACTTGTTGATTGCCAATAATGCTTTGATGGGACGTAATCCAGAAGAAAATTACGATATTGTTACTTTGATTGAGCTCAAATTTTTCCTAATTTCGAAAAGGTAAGGATTGGTAAATTAACTTATTGTAGATTGAAGAAATTTCATCGCAGTGAGCGAGTCCGAGAAAATGTAAATGAGGCAGTTTTGTACAAGTTTAGCTACCTCCATCACTTCGTTTAGAACAATGCATTCAGCTGTAAAAATGGATACATCCTTTCCTATGAATTTTTTAATGTTAAAATCAAGTTCAGGACAAACACAAGCTGCTCAACAAATTTTCATTTAAAGTTTTTATCAATATTAACACTATCTTTGGTTTTATTGCCGAGATCTTTTTTAAAGGTATGAAAGTAGCTGTTGTGTTATATCGATATAAGTAAGTGGTTAGGTTTATATTTGTATAGATTTTTGATTGGTCTCTCATTATGGAAAATAAACATTTAGAGATTTGTCGCGTTGAAATTAGATTTTTTATTATATTTTTGAGAAATTTGAAAATATTTTGAGTGGTCCTACTGTTTGTAGTTGATCAAATTATTAGATGTGCTTTGTCTGTATCCAAGTGCCGCTCTGATTGATGTTCTTTGTATTATTTCTAATTTATGTATTTATCCTAAACGTTTATACAGATCCATTATATTCTATAATCTAGATTTTATATGGAATGATTGGGGTTTTTGAATGGGTGCTCCATCATGCGCTCCTTAGGAATCTAATAACATTGTAGGCTTTCAAATATTTACTAATGACTGATTTTATATGTTGAGCGAGATGTTTTGTAGTCGAAGATTATTACATGAAAGCGAGCTGATTTAATCGATTGAATGGTACAATCATCTAATTGGATTTCAAAAATGGTAAAAAATTAAGTAAAATCTTCATAAATCGTAACGGATCGAGTGTGATAGCAGTTTACCAGGGCTATCTACTTACCTTTTCGTCCCACCGTGTTACAATATTTACTGATTATGTCAGATCGAACTGTTTCAGAAAATCTTTCGCTTGACCGCGGGTAATCTTCTGGTCATCGATCTCCAGCTGACCATCCAAAAGCTGTTCTCTTTTGCTGGACGGTGAACCGCCCGGAAAAAAATAGTAATATTCATCTTCCATAGTCTGCTTTCCACCAGGTAACTATGTTAGCATTACTTGTCGGTTAAAAAAACCGATTCGGATTTTTTTCTATCGTCTAATTCTTTATCTCGTTCTTATCTTATTAATCAACTTACATTCATCTGCTCTCTTATACATATATTTCCACACTCACATACTTTCATCATTTATTTAACTTCCAGGCATCTATCAGCCTTTTTCCCTCTCAGAATAGCTTCGACGTACGTCGCAGTTATTGTCCAGTTTTGTTTTCTTGCAGCATTTTCACCACATTTTCTGGCGTGATACTGCCTATTCTCGTTTCTAGTCGTCGTCTCGTTCATGTTCGCAGTATTTACAGTCTTGACTGTTTATTTTCCCTATGCCGTGTAAATATTTCCTGAAATAATTATGACCGGTAAGGAACTGGGTCAGGAAATAGTTTACTTCCCCGAATCTTCTTCCCGTCCACAATCTTATGTCGTCAATGAGACGTCTCGTCCTTGTACTAGTCGTTTTTTGTCCTTCATCGATTTTTTTATTCTGTTATCGTCATATGCCTCTCTTTTTCCGTAACATCTCTCCTTGCTACGTCTCGGTTTCGTTCATATATGTGCTTCCGTTCTCAAGCGAGCAGGACTATCACCATCACATGAACGATTTCAGCCGAGACTATTCTTATTAGGTACAGACAATCCTCAATACTCCCAATCAATACACCCTGTCTCTGTACATTCATAAGTCTTTTGTTGTATTTCTTGACATACAGCGCATTGACCCACACCTCTACGTCGTAAAGCGTGACGAGTGGGTCGTGGACATCAACAATTATCTCTTCCACACACATTGTCTCGATCCAAATATATTTGCCATCAGGTGGCTGAGAGCGGAAATCTCTTCTGCCGTCTTTTTAACTATCTTTTACAGACTGATTCAAAACATGTAAACGCGGATATTTTTAGATTCGTTTTAAAAAGTTATATAAAATGGAATTTTTTAAAAATTTATAAAAAATAGGTGACTAGACAATCACCTTTAAAAATGACCAATTAGCGGTCAGCTTTAGCCAGGTGCTCGCTTGGAGGTGAGCGCGAAGCGAGAAGGGGAACCGGCATGTGCGCATTACGATTAAGCTAAAGCGATGCTTAACTCGATTTCAATGTGTTTATCATTAGACCAATCGGTGGTGACAAAAAAATGTTATCTATTTTTTAAATCTTGCTGTGTAAATACATACAACTGTACACAACATAAATATGCAATAAAAACAGCTTGTTTTGTAATCCGTTATGCTGAACAGTTAATGTTAAATTAACCCATTAATACCCAAGCCGAATCTGGTAGAGATAGCCTTGAAATAACTATTGAGTTCATGTTATAGCTCAAAAATAATTTACACGTGTTTTTTCTTTTTGCATTTCCAATCGTTTATAAAAAGTTATTTAAACAAATTGACAAAAGTTTTAGTTATTTGAAAAACTATTTACGGCAATCGATGCTACGGGAAAAACCAAGGCGAAAACCTCTATAAGATTTTCTTGTCAGCTCGATTTTGTTGGTGTATATTCGTTATAAACAATTTGAAACTGAGAAGTGATGCTGACAAAAACCTCTCTAACATTATTTTTTTCGACCCAACTGTTTTTGTTAATCATTATGGGTAAAAGAACTACTTTCTTCAAAACAGATCCTTAAAAACAATTACGAATGATTTTGTCTGTGAGTTTCGCAAAAGTAAATATCACATTTTGAACAACAATATTCAGTCAATACTGAACAATTTTCGTTGTCACACTTTCTACGTTTCCCAACCTTTATCTAATGTTCCTCTGTCGGAGTTTTAACTTTTTTCTGTCGTTTGGGTCGATGAGTATTTTCGAGTTTTTGAATATAATATTCACAAACTTCCTCCACAATATCTTTTGAACCTTTCTTCTCATCTGGATGAAGTTTATTGTAAATAACAGTAGCATTAGCTAATGAAGCTTGAATAAGTCTCATGAAGAGACACCACGTCCAT